GAGGCTGGTATTTTTTATATTATGATTTGTGGTTACATCTCTGATGAAAGATTTGACATTAAATTATAAAAGTATAACTAATAGTAACAATGAAAGAAACAGCACCTATCAATCTTCAAATTAGTATGATGATACTCCCTGTCCAATAAAATGGTAAAAACTGTTTCATAAATGCTGATAATTTAAAGAAAAACAGTCTACCATAAAGTATAAACTCAATCTGTAATCAACACTTATTTGAGCTGGTTTGAGAGAGAGTAGCATTACTACAATTTGATTAACTATTTTAGTGAACATTTACAATTCAGAATGCTTTTACAGGGGACTAACTTGAATGACTAAGCTCTCTTTAAAATGTATGTGAAGTAGTTTAAGTTAATGTGTTTTTTATTTTTCTTTCATAAAGAGTCTTGGCAGCCGATTGAATTATTTAAAAGTATCACTAATGTATAACAAAAGTATCATTTACTGATAGCTTCTTAAAGTATTCAGGGTGCCCATTTTTTTGAGCAGTGATGATTTCATTCTTAAACTGAAAATCATTTTAAAGCAAAAATTCATACAATGGATCTCCATTACTCTTTGTTACAGGATGGATTTTGTCCTAAAAAAAAAAAAAAACCCCAAAACTACATATTGAAGTCTTCATCCCCAATACCTTAGAATATAACCTTCTTTGGGAATAGCATCAATGCAGAGATCCAGTAGTCACCCCTTATCTTCAGTTAATACATTCTAAGATCCCAGTGGACCCCCAAAACTGAGGATAGTACCAAACTCTGTATGCATGATGTTTTTCTATACTTACACATCTATGATAAAATTTAATTTATAAATTAGACACAGCAAGAAATTAACACAGCAACTAATAATACAATAGGACAGTTGTAACAATATGCTGTTCACAATTCCAGGGGTAGGAGATTGTTTCCTACCATGGATCTTAGCAACCTCAGCATACAATTTGTTTTCTTTCCTTATTAAGTTGAGAACATTCACCTTTTCATGAAAAGGAAGCACTTTTCAGTTTCTCTTTGGCCTATGCAAATTTCCAGCCTCACCACTCCTATACTCTGACGCCATTATTAAGTAAAATAAGAGTTACTTGAACACAAACACCAGGAAACTGGCACCATCTGATAACTGAGAGAGCTTCTATGTGATTAACAGGTGGGTAGCGGAGACATCGTGGATACACTGAACAAAGGGGCGATTCACTTCCCAGGCTGGATGGAGTTGGAGGGCAGGAGATTTCATCACATTTCTCAGAATAATATGCAATTGAAAACTTATGAACTGTTTACTTTGAGAATGTTCTGTTTAATATTTTTGAACCACAGTTGAACTCGGGTAACTGAAACCACAGAAAGCGAAACCTTAGTTTAGGGTGAAACTACTGTACTCAAGTTACAATAAGGTCATACTGGAGTAGGGTGTGTCCTAATTCAATGACCTACCCCATACTGGAGTAGGGTGCGACCAGTGTCCTTTGGAGAAGAGAAGAGACACAGGGAAAAGGCCATGAGCCAAAAGAGGCAGGGACTGGAGGAATGCATCTCCAAGCCACGGAGCACTGAGGATCAGCAGCAACCATCAGAGCTAGGAATGGGCAGGGGAGGTTCCCCCAGAGAAGCCAAGAGCTCGTGCATCTACAGACACCTGAATTCCAGACTTCTACCCTCCAGAACTGTGAGACAATTAATTTCTGCTGTTTCCAGCCACCACATTGGTGTTCATTTGCTACTGCAGCTTTCGAACACTGACATCTAACACGTTCTAATATCAACCCTGTTCAGTCTATGCTAACAGGCACAGGAGACAAGTACATGCTATTAAGTTACTCTGGGAGACATGGGAACATCAGATCCACAGCTGAAAGAGTGCTTTCATTTTTGGACTTAAATAATGTTGAGCCCTAGGCAGCATCTTTAAAATTATCTGGTCCAGCTGGTGTCTGCCCCTTCCTCTTGCTTAGGCACAGTCAGCGTAGGCGTGACAGAGTGCGTGGCAGACGTGAGGATGTTGCACGGCAGGTTCTGATGACTGAGTAAAGACGTTCCTTCTCGGAAACATCGACCTGCTCTTTGTAGTACACACAACATACCTTTGTACTCAAAACTCTTTCCACGTAGTAAAGGATACTTGAAGGAATCTGTCCTCTTTCTCTTGAGTTATTTCTTTTTCAGTGTAAATATTTTTAGTTTTGTCAACACTTTCCTCCAAAAACATGACATTGGAACTTTCACTCTCCTGATAAACATTTTCTGAACATATTCCTTTTATTTCTCTTCTTAAAAACAGGAAACAACTGAGTTCCCAGTCTCACCCCTTCAGGGCACTATGGGTCCTACCATGTTTATGATCTAGGCAGTAGATTTCTATGAATGCCATCTCAGCACTGGCTTTATTACTTTGTTTATAGCAGTTTATTACTCTTAAATAAAAACATTAAAAACGATCACCAAATCATTTGGCCAGGGTTTTAAAAGAACACAGCAGGAAGCTATGAAACAAACAAACATAGGTGATAAGAAATAAATTAAGGATGTTAATTAGGGGAACAGAAAGAGTAAAAAGGCCATCCGGAAAGTGGAGAAAGGTGGAGCATGCCTGTCATCAATGCCCCGATTGCCATTTCCATAAGAGAAAAATAAACTCTACACAAGACTGAAATTATAGCGAAATTACGGTCCCAGTTCCTCAAGGCTTCAGAGAACTTTTCTGGGCCTCGAACTGCTCCAGGCCCATCATTATGAATATGCATCACCTCTGGGTCTCCATGCTGCCTGGACAAGCTGCCCGAGAGGTATATGTGAGGCTGATTACGCTGAGCATGTGAGGGACCACGTGTTCACTGAGATTTTTGATTAACAGAAGGCTCAGTTAATCAGTGTTTACAACAAAGTTTTCCAGTTCTTTTTAATATGTATATAAAATTATTTTCTAAATTAACGTTCCTAAAGAAAAGGACCCTCTAAACTCTATCCAGAAAAATAAACAAGAGGAAAAAAAAAAAAGAAAAAAAGTTAGTAATGGATGACACCTTCAGAAGCCGGTTATTTTTCTCTCCCTCTTGGTAAAGGAAACAGGAAATTGAGAAGAAAAATTCATGCTGGTGATACCCCAGATGAGCTTCTCCTCCTTGCACTAGTTGTGCATAAACACGAGTGGCCTGCTTTCAGCTCTCAGAGCTCTCAGACACTCATGTCCCATGAATCACCTGGGAATCTTGTTAAACTGCAGTCTCCACCAGCCAGTCTGGAGTATGGCGTCAGATTCTGCGTCTCCAACAAACTCTGAGTGATGACGCGGTGCTTGTCCTTGGGCCACATCTTTGAGTGGCAAGCGGCTGGAACACGGAGCTTTCAATGTTTCAGCTTCCTACTTTTGGAGAACTTACTACCCACTTAGAGAAGATCGCCACAGCCCACCAGTCACTAAGAGCTCAGCGGGGAACCTGTGCTCAGTATTATAGAAGTAAATCTGGCCCTTTCCCCTGGAGGAGCACACCTGGCCAGGTGTTAGGAAACCGAGACTGGAAAACCAGAGCTTGAGGCTCGAGACAGTTCTCCGATGAGGTCTTCATAAAAAGGCAGACATTCAGAACTCTAAGTCATGCATTTAAAAAACAAATCAACAAACAAATAGCTTTCCTTTTGCACAACTTAACCTTCTAACTTCAACATCTAAAAGCATCTTTTTTTTTTTTCTTTTTTTGGAGACAGAGTTTTGCTCTCGTTGTCCAGGCTGGAGTGCAATGGTGCGATCTCTGCTCACCACAACCTCCTCCATCTCCCGGGTTCAAGCGATTCTTCTGTCTCAGCCTTCTGAGTAGCTGGGATTACAGGCATGTACCACTACACCTGGATAATTTTGTATTTTTAGTAGAGATGAGTTTCCCCATGTTGGTCAGGCTAGTCTCAAACTCCTGACCTCAGGTGATCCGCCCACCTTGGCCTCCCAAACTGCTGGGATTACTGGCGTGAGCCACTATGCCCAGTGCATCTTTTCTTACTCTTTTATGCATGTTATTTGTCACATTTAATTAGTAGAAATCTGATTCTGACACAGACTTGCTGCAAAACGCAATGATTTTGTTTCTAGATTATAGTCAAAACTAACTTTTGTTTCCTGAAGGGAAAATAGGGCAACTTTAAACAGCCAAATAAAATTAAGCTCTTTCGGAAATCATTTATAATAATTGGCAAATGTTTAAGTGCTGACAGCTGTTGTAAAAGTTTTTTTTAAATATTCAAGTATATCAAAAATTCTACCTATGATTGTATTTATATTATTAATTTGCATGAATTTGTTTTAATTGGAAAGATGTAAAATCCTAGGTGAATTATAAATTAGTTGAATTTTAAATAAGGAGTTTTCATAAAATATACTTTAAAGTATTTAAATCAAATATGAAACAGTGTCTGTTTGGGTTTAGTTTGGTGATTATTTTGATGTTTAGATTTAATTCAATCATTTAACTATATGGATTCAGTTTTATTTCAAATAGATTTCAATGTGTGTTATGTGAAGAAATTATGTATAATACTAAGGTATTATTTATTTAATTAAAGTATTTGAGTTTGTTTCTATGTTCAGCAAGGATGATTCCTTTCAGCTATGTTTGGTTTGGGTTTGGTTTATCATTATATAGTCTATAAAATAATCATCTTGAAAAGGTCCAGCTTGCATTTGAGAACATTTTTCAATTCACAATAACTTCAGCACTTGTCACCTGATATCCCAGGTACGTATACACACACACACATACACACACACACACACCCCCTCATCTGAGTGCCTGACTGTTGATCCTTGTTCTAATGTAACACAAACTTTCCAGAAGTATCTTAAGCTGTTTACAGATATGGTTGTGATGAAGAATAGATTTTTTCTCCCAGCATTGATTCATACATGGTGTCTCCATCATGTGCTTGTGTGCAACGTGGCCGCATGCTGGTTCCGCACAGGAAATCCACATTGGCAAATGTTGCACTTACCTCCAGTTAGCTGTTGTTTCCTCTCACAGAACTGCAGTTCAAAATACTTGATGAAGCAACTGGACAAATCATTAAGTGTGGTCTTGGCATGTCCAAAGGCTTCTAAGATGCACATGGCCTGTGGGAGAGGAGAACATTTTACTGAACTGCTCATATTTTAAAAAATAAAATTGATGAGTAATAGTCAGCAACGATGCAGGGAATACTTCTTGGTCTGAAAGTTTCTCTCCTGCTCATATAATGCCATATTGAATTTTTAAGACTCCTTTTTCCTCAAAGGCAAGCTACTAGCATCCTATGTCTCAAATTGTGGCTGCTGTTCATAAAGCAATAATAGACAGAGGACTTCACGACACTGCACTCTCCTTGTACATAAGAGAAGGAAAGCCATTCTCTTCACACACAGCCCCAAGCTTAACAAATGTTATTGAGATTTCACACCTGAATAGAACAGTAAAATAGCATTTGCATTTTGGAAGGGAGGGAGTCATTTGAATTAATATAAGCAATAGTCAGAATGTATTTTACAATAATACATTTACTTAAACATCAGGATAGAACATTCCTTTGAACCCTTATTTACTTTCCACTCATACTCTTTTCAACCCTGACCCCAGTTTATCCTCCCTATACTGTGCTTTGGCCTCACACCAACTATTCTCTCCCACAGGGTTGCAGCAAAACTCCCAGCTGAGCTGCTGTGCCGCCTTTTCTCGCTGCCCTGTGTTTTGTTGCAGACTGGCAAGTTTGTGGCTTTGCAATTGCTATGATAAAGCTCCTCAGACCCACCCTGGGGGCTGAAATTCTTCCTTCACATGTTTCCTTAAGCATTAACAGTAGAATAAAAGTCACTGCTTCTTCATCAATTGACTCTGCTTGTGCAGGTGATGGGGGCCAGCAATTCTCCAACATGTACGAGATCTGGAGGGTTCACGGGTGTCTCTGTCTTTCATGATAGTTGCGTTCCATGCGGTTTCTGCGTCAGCCACAGGAGGGAGTACAATAACACCTTATTGATATGTGGACTAGTTTTCCTGTTCCCTAGGGTTTCTAATAGCATTTTTTGAGAACACTATCCTATTTTTTTAAGTGCTTTGATCCCACTCTTTTTTTAAATTTATTTTTTATTTTTTGAGACAGAGTCTCGCTCTGTCACCCAGGCTGGAATGCAGTGGTGAGATCTCAGCTCACTGCAGTGGTGTGATCTCGGCTCACTGCAACTTCTGCCTCCTGGATTCAAGCAATTCTCCTGCCTCAGCCTCTGGGGTAGCTGGGATTACAGAGGCATGCCGCCACGCCTAGCTAATTTTTGTATTTTTAGTAGCAGAGACAGGGTTTCACCATGTTAGCCAGGCTGGTCTCAAACTCCTGACCTCGGGTGATCTGCCCACCTCCGCCTCCCAAAGTGCTGGGATTACAGGCATGAGCCACCGCACCCGGCCGCTTTGATATCACTTTTAAATTTCCTGGCCTTGCTACATTAAGGAGTTGAATTAACCTGGAAGTATTTTATACTGTGAAAGATTATAAACACTTTGACGCTAACCACAAATTAAAATATGCTACAAGTTGTGATAATAGTGAAGTATGTTAAAACTTCTGTGTTTGAAGTTTGAATTTGGGAGACAAACATATACTCATTTCTTACAAAAACTTTATGCTTTAGGTCTGTATATAATAACCTAATTTTAAAGATGATAAAAGTAAATTGATAGCAGTGATAATAGCAATGCTTTCTGGGAAAAAAATGAAATAGTAACTTCGTTTTTGTATCTTTTCCTATAATCTAACATGAAATCTGTAGTGATGATATACATACAGTGAAAACAGCATAATGATAGCACATTTTAAATATTAATAATATTACATTAAACAATTATTTTAAAAGTCTTAAAAATAGGATAATCTTTTAAAATATTGTGCTTCTAGTTATTCTGGTGTTGTGTCTGATCAGTAATGTGTTGATTATTCTTGGAAAAACGACATTACAGGTAATTAATAACTTGTTCCCCAAACAGTCAATATAGGGAAATGGTTAAATGCATGTGCCTGGAAGTGAGAAGGAGCTACCCCCACACCCCAACACTGCTACTGAGAGCTGATGTAACACTGAGGAGGTCTTCTGAATTCCTCAAACCTCATTTGTCGTTAATTCTCAAGCAGTGTTTGTCAGTGTCTGCTGTGTAAAGCACTCAGCTTTTCGTCTGGCACAGAGAAAACATTCAGCAAATAACAACAGTGAATTTTACTTTTGTGAGTAGCAATAGACAACACTCCTGTCATGCTCACTATGTGCCAGGCAGTGTTCTAACGTGAGATGTGTCTGTGCTTGTGTGTTCTCTGTTGACTCTCGGAACTAGCGTATATTACACACTGCTTTATAAGAAAAATGACAGAGACGAAGTAGTTTTCCCAAGGCTCAAAGGTTGTCAACAATGAACCTGGGAGTTGAACCTGGGTGAGCTGGCTTTCAGAATCACACACTTCACCACCACACTATGCAGTAATCACTGCTGAAATACCAATAAAGGCATAAAAGGCATGAAATGAATATAAAACTACAACTACTTAACAAAATGTAAATACTCCATGGCATTCTTTCACTGTACATTGTCATCCATGAGTCAAGATTAAAATGCTAAATAAACTAGGCAATAACCAGTTTTTATCTTTAATTAGCCATTTGGCCAATAGGTGGCACTAAATAAATGTATTAAGAGAAATACTGAGTGAAACAAAACTGGCATTATTCCGCTGCTCACCTTGATTTCAAAAACAATAACGACAACATTGCACAGTAAGAAAATTTAAATAAAAATATAAATGAAGAAAATTAAATATATATATTCTCAATATTTACTTATTCAAACTTTATTGACTTTTTTTCTATTTATAATGCATGGTATTTTTTCTACAAATTTATGTCCCTATAAGTTGTGGACTATTATGGCAGGAGTTAATCTACTGTATTTTCTAAAAGTAAAAACTTGCTGCACCTTAATAAAAAATACTAAATCAGGGGCCGGGCGCGGTGGCTCATGCCTGTAATCCCAGCACTTTGGGAGGCCGAGGCGGGCGGATCACGAGGTCAGGAGATCGAGACCATTCTGGCAAACATAGTGAAACCCCGTCTCTACTAAAAATACAAAAAATGAGCCAGGCGTGGTGGCGGGCGCCTGTAGTCCCAGCTACTGGGGAGGCTGAGGCAGGAGAATGGCGGGAACCCGGGACGGGGAGCTTGCAGTGAGCCGAGATGGCGCCACTGCACTCCAGCCTGGGCAACAGAGCGAGACTCCATCTAAAAATATATATATATATATACACACACACATATATATATATATATATATAATCAATCGATATCAGCCCACTAGTCTGCTCTCTGAAAGCTATTGCATAGTAAATCCTTATTTAAGTGATTTCAACGGAATTGAATATTCTTAAAGTTGAAGTTCATTTGAGCCAGAGTTGGTGAAAGTTCCAGGTAGTTTCTTGCTGAAACATGACTTTTCTATTCCAATAAATTTAATGTCATGGAAAATCCCCTGCTTCCAATGTTTGAAATTCAAATGCAGGGATTAGAAACAAAACAGCCCTTCCTAACTGCTCTTAAATGGCTCTGAAATTGTATGGGGGAACAAAGCCATGTCTGTGGTGATCGGGTTCCACCCGTCCATCTACCAGGGGGTAAAGTGCACTTGAAGCACAGGACAAAGGCATGTGAGCTCAGGTAGGCTTTTAAGATGGGCCAAATGAGGTGTAAGACTGACAGAAATCCTTCAGTCACGTCTCTTAAGTTTTTGACCTGCATATAATCGCCAAAAGTTATTTCTGGACCTCAATGCTGCACTCTCTCTCACTTTCTAGTTGTTACCAACTAAATCTTCCTCCTCCCCTCTCTTCTCCCGAAACCTCCTTCAGGGAGAGTACTGTCTGCTGTGACAGTGTGAAACTTATAGTTTCCACCCAAACCCTTTCACTTTGGGTTCTCTTGCTCCCCATACTCCACTGAGATGGTAATCTTTATTTTAACAATGATGCCATTATTGTCAACCACAGGAACACTTTCTCTACTCCTCAGCATCTGCACAAAACTACACTGAAGACCACCCCAACACATCCTGACTGATAAGGTTTGGCTCTGTGTCCCCACCCAAATCTCAAGTCAAATTGCAATCCCCACATGTCAAAGGAGAGACCTGGTGGGGGGTGATTGAATCATGGGGGGCAGTTTTCCCCATGCTGTTCTCATGATCATGAGGGCATTCTCATGAGATCTAGGGTTTAAAACTGCTAGTTTCCCCTGCACACGCTCTCTCTCCTGCCATCATGTAAGACATGCCTTGCTTCCTTCTCCTTCACCTCCTGCCATCACTGTAAGTTTCCTGAGGCTTCCCCAGCCATGCAGAACTGTGAGTCAATTAAACCTCCTTTTTTTTTTAAATAAATTTCCTAGTCTCAGGTAGTATCTTTGTGGCAGTATGAGAACAGACTAGTACACTGACTTTTACTTCTCTTCATTCTTTTACTACACATTATTTGATAACTGCTGATCCAAATGACCTCCAATGAGTATTTTCCTAGGATTCGACGCAAAATTGTCTCCTTTAGAATGAACCAGGCTCTCTCAGTGGAATGTACAGTTTGTGTGCTTGCTACACACCTGGTCCTGCCTGCCAGCATTCCCCATGTTGGCCTGTGTGATATTCCACAGTGGAGTCTCACAACCAAACATGGCTAAACCATGTCTCTAATCAGCTCAGTGTCCTCTCCTCTTAGGGCCACCTAGTGAACTTTCCTTTCATCTTATCCTGACTTTCAAACTTTCTACTAGATAGCTCCATAGATCACGGCTGTTCAAGGATGTTCTTTTCTACTCATTTCTTTAATTCTATTTTCCTTTCAGGAAGTATAGGAAGTACTCACTTAATATCATCAATAGGTTCTTGGAAATTTCTACTTTAAGCAAAACAATGTACCTTCTAATGAAACCAATTTTATCATAGACTAATTGGTATAAACAAGAGTTAAGTTTTTACAGCAGACAGGAAATAGTTTTGCCTCAAGCCACAGTTTCCAAGAACCCATCAATGACATTGTGAAGATTTATCGTACTGGTTCATCTCTTAAATATACTTAATTTCACTAAACCCTCTAATTTTATAAAGATTTACAGTAAATTAAAAAATGTATTCAATGCTTGTATTTAATTCCTGTACATATACTCAGATGATTTACAGATATGATGGCTGATGATTTTCGTGAACATCTTGGACACTGAATGATATTTGTGTGGATAATAATTTAAAGGGAAACAATAAAACCATAGCTGACATGGAATTTAAGCCATGCTCAAACCTGGGCAATATTTTTTCATGAGACGAGAAGTCATTTATTTACGACATCTTTTATTTGTCATGAGGAGTGAATAAAACACACAAGTTAACTAGAATTAGTTTTACTTGAAATATGCACTGCTATTATAATCTGGACTCCCAGATGCTAATTGATTTGGGAGGGTTATATCTAACTGATCCAAAGGAATGCATTTTAGAATGTATTTGTTTGAACTAAAATTTAAAGCCAATTTACATAAGGTAATAGAGAATGCATTAAAGAAATTATACAGCCTGCTGTCTCCCAAATGATCATTTTAATAGATGACTGTTTATAACTTAGAGGGGAAACTATTGTTCCTTGTCATTATGATTAAGTCATCAGTTTCTGTCATTTCTGTTAGTTAACGTGAGGCTATTTTAGAACCATGTTGTTTTACATGTACTCTAACTCTTAAGTGTCAGCCGTCAGGATATTAACGTATTTGAACAAAGAAGATAGGTTATGCTATTTTCCCAAGTTGACTCTCAATGTCAAATTATTTTGAGCAGTCAGGTGCAGTGGCTCACACCTGTAATCCCAGCACTTTGGGAGGCTGAGGTGGGTAGATCACTTGAGGTCAGGAGTTCGAGACCAGCCTGGCCACCATGGTGAAATACCATCTCTACTAAAAAATACAAAAATTAGGCAAGTGTAGTGGCACATGCCTGTAATCCCAGCTACTTGGGAAGCTGAGGCAGGAGAATTGCTTGAACCTAGGAGATAGAGATTGCAGTGAGCCAAGATCGTGCCACTGTACTCCAGCCTGGGTGACAGAGCAAGACTCCATTTCAAAAAATAAATTATTTTGAGCTTACTGTAGAATTATACAGGTGCTCAATACAGTATGAGCTTAGTAGATGGTTATAAATTAAAGTCATTAATGAACACACATGATACCACAGATATTCAAAAAACTGATTAATTATGCAGTCTTTTTAAAGAGAAAAGTCTACAGAATCAGACATAAGCTTAGGGATCTATTAGAGCAGAATAAATTTTAAAATTACTTATAATTCACAGGTATAAAATATGTAAAATCATACTAATTTATTAATTAAAAAATCAGTTATTCTCATTTCTAAATGAGGAATCAGATACTATAAATTTCCAGAACATGCCAAGTAACCACCACCATGGTAGAAATCACTCTACACTGTAGCAACCACATAAAAAAGCAGGTGACACAGAAACAAACACAAATAGCACAATATTCATTGGGCAGTATATTTCCGTATTTGTAACTTTTGAACCTTTAGATGGCATTGACTTAGGAAATGATTTAAGTGTAGCTGTCTTGCACGAATGTAATCAGACACTTTTAAATATAAAATTATGACTGAAATGCAGGTATCCTTCTGTAAATGTGTGTACGGCCAGACACATGCCAGCATCAGAGGCACCTCAGTGGAAATTTCACACTGCATCAATATCACACTTTGAAATAAGTGCCAATAGAAAGTTTTATACTTTTGTAACATGGCCTATGATGTGTAGATGCATTATTTTTTGTCAAGGCAATGATATAGCACATATGTACATTATTTCTTGAATGTTATACAGATAAAATTGATTTATTTATAGAAAATCTTATGTTCTGTTAGTATATATATGGAATTGAACACGATTTTCCATGTATGCATTTAGTGGTCTCTTGACCTGCGAGATAATAAACAAATTTTTTTACACAAATGTGTCTTCCCTACACTTGAATGAAAAATAAAAGGTTGTAAAAAAAGGAAGAGAGGCAGAAAAATCCCACTATCTAACAAAAGCAGGGCAGGTAAGAAAAACTGAAGAAAATGTCAATGTTGGTTCTGTAAATCACATACAAGGAAACACACACAGGCCAAAGGTACAGTCTCCTGATGACATACAAATGGTTTGTCCATTAAATTTATTTGATAATGTAAAGTTAACTAAGAAAGTTAACTTAGGAAACTGGGGGTAATTGACTGTGTCTCCTATACTCTCACAATACTTATATTAGTGTATTCATTTATTCCCCACATAGAAACTGAGCTTCTCCCATGCTGTTGAGACAGCATCTCTGAATTAGAGGGACAGGCACTGGGAAGTCACTTTATATTAATAGATGCTTGTGGAATGAGAAAGCAAATGAATGAGACTGCACGGGCCAGGCTGAGAGGGATATATACTCAAAGGTGGCTTCAGCATAGAGTAAGAGGAAGGGGATATAGTGTTCTAAGATTAGAGAAGAAAATAAAAACCACAACAAATGTAACATTGCCAGAAAGAATGCCGGGCCATGCTGATTTATTGGACTTGATGTAAGGGGAACAGAGACTCATTCAAGGGCTTTGAGCAAAGGAGTCTCTGGTGATACAGGCTGATGGCAGTTCACCAGCATCAACTCTCCTCTTCTTCCGTTTACCAGATGAAGTTGAACACATGGCTGCCTAGTTAGCAATGAGTCCTAACTAGATAGCAGCATGACTAAGTTCAAGCCCATAACTGTGATGAGAAGGCAGGCAACGCCTCTGCATATGATGAGCCTTCTCCCTGGACTGGGGCTTGCTGCTCCCTTCCTCTCAGCAGGTGAGAAAGTGCCTGGGGAGCAACAGGGTCTGGGCCTTACCTGACCCTGGGCAGCAGAGCTACCAACCATGGCCTGCCACAGGGACATGCAGTAGAGGATGGCCAAGAATGGCAAAAGAAGGACAGTAACTTAGAATAGTCTCAACAATAATGCCATGTGAGATGACTCCACAGCAGCAATGACTGTGGGCCTGAAGGAAACTGGACAGAATAAGAGCTAGGAGTGATAGAATATTCAGAATGTGTTGGAAATAGAGAAACTTAGTACTGTGCAATGGCTCACACCTGTAATCCCAGCACTTTGGGAGACTGAGGCAGGTGGATCACTTGAGCCCAGGAGTTCAAGACCAGTTTGGGAAACACAGGGAGACCCAATCTCCACAAAAAAAACTACAAAAATGTGCTAGGCATAGAGACACGTGCCTGCAGTCCCAGCTACTTAGAAGGCTGAGGTGGGAGGATCGCTTGAGCCCAGGAAGTTGAGGTTGCAGTGAGTGGTGATCGTACCACTGCACTCCAGCCTGGGAGACAAAGCGATTCCCTGTCTCAAAAATAAATAACAATAACAGTAAATAAATAAATAAAAATAAAAAAGAAAGACTTCAGTTTTGGCCATGTCTTTGCAGTACACTGTGGCATGTCCAGGAAGTTTGCTGGACAGGCAGGTCTGCATTTTAAGAATGAAAGGCAGGATGGAGATTAGGATTGGGAGCTGCTGGTGTACCCATGGCACTGAGTCATGGTCATCAGCATAAGCAAGGATATAGTATCCTCTAAAATAATATTTTATTTCAACCTTGGGACAATCATCATGAACTTCCAGGTGTCTGGAGTGATTTCCAAAAGAAATACAGAAATGGGGAGGATTCCATCTCTAGGTAGAGGCCCCCAGAAAGCAGACTGTTGAGTTCCATTCTTTCGGATTGGTTATTGGTTCCTGTCCTGTCTGTTCCCCCCACTGCTAGCTGTTCCTTCCAGTGGCCTTTGTCTTCTTCTGATCTGCTATCATCTGAACAAATTTTTTAACAAAACTTGCTAGAACTATGTATAAACCAGAGAATCAGTCTATGGATAAGCACCTGTGGTGGCCTCCTTGACTAAAATTTCTGAGTTTGATTGTGTGGAATGTTTTAGCTTTATTTTAGCTGCTAATGGGTCTTTTCGCTTCCTCCTTGAATCACGGTCATATTTTAGATAGATGAAGTAGCGGGACAGTTAACACTGCAAGTGTTTCTGAATAGAGTTTAAAAACTGTTTTGGCCCCAAAGGTGTATGGCCTGCACATCAAAGTCTTTAGGGTTCACTATTGCCAATTCCTTCAGATAGACTGGAGATTTATTATCAGCCCCCAGTGATCCCCACAATAATTTCTTTTACACTGGAGATTTATTATCAGCTCCCAGTGATCCCCCACAATAATTTCTTTTCTGGCCAGCTCCCCAGAATGTCCTAACACACCCAAGTGCACTTTCTTTTTCTTTTCTTTTCTTTTTTTTTCTTTTTGAGACAGAGTTTTGTTCTTCTTGCCCAGCTGGAGTGCAATGGCGTGTCTCAGCTCACTGCAAACTCTGCCTCCCAGGCTCAAGCAATTCTCCTGCCTCAGCCTCTCGACTAGCTGGGATTACAGGGACCTGCCACCACACCTGGCGAAATTTTGTATTTTTAGTAGAGACAGGGTTTCACCATGTTGGCCAGGCTGATCTTGAACTCCTGACCTCAGGTGATTCATATGCCTCAGCCTCCCAAAGTACTGAGATTACAGTCATGAGTCCCTGCGTCCAGCCTTAAAGTGCACTTTCTTTGTGAACAGTATCTACCTATATTACATGTTTTAGATCCAACTATTCAGAGCAAATACAAAAAGAAGGTACAAGATATTTTAAATATGTAAAATAAATAAATGTGCACTTGAACAATATTAATTTGAACCCAAGCTCAATAATTTTTTATTCTTTATTTCCACAAATTTTGACCCCCTTATGTCTATTATGATGTCCCCTCCCCTATTTGTAAATGACAATTGACTGAACATCTTCATTCACATATTCGCCAACCCAAACAAAAAACTTACATGTTTGAATCTGGAATCCAGCATGGCCCTGCTGGAGGCAGCCCTGCAGGTGAGGTGTCTTATGATTTGTTTGCTGGCTTCAGACTTTCCTGATCCCCTTTCTCCACTAAGGAAAACAGAGAGGAAAAACGTAAGTTTGAAGGAACTTTGTGCCTTTGAATAAGCTTTGTTCCTTTGAAGCTACTTTGAAGGAACAAGTAAAAATATTAACTGGAGATATTTCTCAGACACAGAAGTGAGGAGGGAATGGCATATTAACTTGCAATGAGTTTGTGGTCTACGTTCACTCTTCAGTTTGATGCATTCGTCTGAAATACCTAGTATATGTTTACTGTGTCATGTCCCTGATGGTGCTTCAGATGCTGGCATTACAAATAAATATGACACAAGTTCTGCCATTCAGTATCTCACAGGGTAGAACCACCTAGTGTAGGTGAATTATGCCAGAAAGGTGTCAGGCTGAGAAGGAAGACATAACCGACTTGACTCAGCTTAGCAAGTCAACATAAAGTGAGGCGATCCCATGACAGCACGCTGTGTTGAGATATGCAGGTTCACACGTGGCCTTGGGAGAGCTGTTCACGCTTCATGGGCCTTACAGGAAAGACGTTACCTCTTCTGTGGAAAAGCTGTGAAATCTTTCTGAGCATTCCTTCTCTGTTCTTCGAAATGAAGGTAAAGTACATAGCTACGAAAACTAAGACCGTAAGGTCTTCAGATGTGGATCTCTCAGCAGATCCTAAACCTGACCTGGTTAGGTTTCCTTTTCAGCTTGCTTTCGGTTATGCTGTTCTCTAGTTTGCGTGTTTCTTTAATCTAGGAACGATCACTGAACTTTTCATTTGTAACGGCATCACTTCTGATACATCCCAGGCATTCTTCATTAACTCACCCAGTTTTTACCAATGGTAAATATTCTATTCCTGACACTAGATGACATAGGATTAACATAAAATTCCAACACAGTAATTACTATTTCACAGTGATCTGCTCTACAATAAAGTTATTACTTCACCCAGATGAAAAACTCATAAAAACAGCCTTTGCTTATCCGGTAATCAGAAAAACTTTTTAAAGCCCTTTTATGAGTGCTTCCTCGGTTTTCTGCCTGGAAACATCTCTTTTAACAAAGTTGATTAAAAGTGTTTGCCAGAAAAGAAGTTGAAATTTAATTATTTTCTTAAAGTGTCGAGTCGTTAATGGATGCTTCCACTCACTTGTGCAGACTTTTGAACTACTGGGGCCTAAGAGTGTCAACAAATGAGGTATTAAGTTAACATTAGAAAACAAAATGAAATTTTTTCTGGTTTGGTACTGAGTTGTGGGACATCCATTCCAGGAATACTTGCGTTTTGATTGCTAAATCTTAAATTACCCTTTGTAAGTGCTCGTTTTGACACACAATGGACACTCAATAATGACGTGTAAACAACTTACTAAGTTGAATTTCAAATGGCTAATTGTATCATATTAGTAAAAACGGAGAAAGCATGTATGTTAGTCCACACAATCAAGGATGCGGCAAAGCTGTATGAAAGCACACATGGTTTTGAAAGAAGAAAGAGAATCACTAAAATAGTAAGTCCTAGTAACCAAGGTGTGCTCTTCAATTCTGTATATCAGGACTAGCCATACTGGAAGGAGTTCGCCAGTTTGCTTCAGGCAGACAGTCAGGGGAGGGTCCCCTGAGAACCTCCGACCCGCCCCACAACTGCTTACATCAGATGTTTTCTGCAGATAAGGGAACTTGCGCAGGGGCTTTGCCTAAACAAGCCCACGGTGGAAAACTCCGTTCCTTAACACACGTGCAGCAAGGGAAATAAATCAATATGCAGCTGCTCAGTCTAAGCATGCGCACTGGAAGGACGGGGGTGGAGCCAGCAGGAATTTGCACCATAAGCCCCTGTATTCAACTAAGGGGGCATCCGGCACCCCGCTTTCAGGACCCCTCTCTGCTGAGCGCTTCCCTTTCATGTCATAAATTCTACTCCACTCACTCTCTGGTGTCCACACGCCTCATTTTTCCAGGGCAAGAACCCGGACCTAGCTGAGCTAAGGAGCAAAATCCTGCATCAACACCTTCTTGAAACTTGATTGAAGAGATATTTTTTCAAAATAAGGGGTTGCTACATGGAATCATCAGCTGTAAAAAAAAATGACCCCAAGGAAAACTAGTTCTGCAGAATATTAATGAGTTCTACTGGATAAAAAGTTCCATGAGCAAATACATGTGAAAACTGTTGGGTTAAACTAAGATAAACGGGGTTCTTCACTGAAACAACTCGCAGGCCGCTGTGCACCCTCTCCCAGGCGGACCCCCAAAGCGCCTCGGAGGTCCCCTCAGAGCCTTGCTTAGGACCCACACTTTCAACAATCACCTCTAACAGCTGCAATGGTCATCCTAGAATTAAGTGGGAGCACTCAAATTTACATAAATTCTAAAGAAATAACTAACACATAGAAATAATCTAGTCCAGGGTCTGGCACCCAGTAAACTCTCAATAAACAAGTGTTACTCCCTATCTCGCCAATTTACAGTGCTTTTTCTAAGCAACTTTTTAAAAGTTTTTCCCTATTTATCAAAGGAGGACCAGGAAACTAGACAGATAAAGCAGATAAAAACAGGGTTGCCTGAGTCTAGAATGGGTAGAAGCCCCCATCTGTGTGCCTTTCTCCTCCTTGAGTCTAGAACGAGTAGAACGGTCAGGTGCAGTAGCTCACACCTGTAATCCCAGCACTTTGGGAGGCCAAGGCAGGTGGATTGCCTGAGCTCAGGAGTTCGAGACCAGCCTGTCCAACATGGTGAAACCCCGACTCTACTAAAAATACAAAATTAGCCAGGTGTGGTGGCACGTGCCTGTAATCCCAGCTACTTAGGAGACTGAGGCAGGAGAATCGCTTGAACCCAAGAGGCGGAGGTAGCAGTGAACTGAGATCGTGCCATTGCACTCTAGCCTGGGCAACAAGAATGGAACTCCATATCAAAAGAAAGAATGGGTGGAAGCCCCTGCCTCCGTACCTTTCTCATCCTTGTGTCTAGAATGGGTTAGAGCCCCTGTCTCAGAGCCTTTCTCATCCTTGAGTTTAGAATGGGTGGAAGCCCCTGCCTCCGTACTTTTCTCATCCTTGTGTCTAGAATGGGTGAGAGCCCCTGTCTCGGCGTCTTTCTCATTCTTGAACCTAGAATGGGCAGAAGCCCCTGCCTTGGCGCTTTTCTCATCCCTGAGTCTAGAATGGGTGGAATTCCCTGCCTCAGTGCCTTTCTCATTTTTGAGTCTAGAAGGGGTGGAATCCCCTGCCTCGGTGCCTTTCTTATCCTAGAGTTTAGAATGGGTCGAAGCCCCTGCCTCAGCACCTTCCTCATCCTTAGGATGCTTCTGAACCCAGCATGAAAATAACCGCTAGCACGCTGCTTTGAAAACTAGAAAACCAAAGCGTGCACCCATCAGTCTGTGCCTCCATCCTCCATAGAATTTTTGATAAAATGCATATAAATATATAAGTGTTCATTTTAATATTTAAAAAAGCCTTTTGAATTCTATCCAGGTTCTGACTTTACACCATTTTCATTTCACTTTCACTTGAGTTGTGTGCTACTGTACTTACGCGTTCAGTTCCAACCAGCACTACTGACAACAACTAAGGCACTACCGTGAGTATTTACAGAGGTTTCCCTCCCTTGTAAAAGTTTGGCCGAATATAAAATATAGGTCTCTGATGCAGATTTTAACATTTAAATGTTTCTTTCGTTTTATATTAATTTATGAGTTAAATCTAGCATTACATTTCAAATTCAAAAAATATTTTGGGCCAAATGCGGTGGCCCATGTCTGTAATCCCAGCACTTTGAGAGGCTGTGACAAGAGGATCGCTTGAGCCCAGGAGTTTGAGACCAGCCTGGTAATATAGTGAGATATCATCTCTACAAAAATTTAAAAATTAGCCAAGTGTGGTGGCATGTGCCTGTAGTCCCAGCTATTTGGGAGGCTGAAGTAGGAGGATCACTCGAGCCTGGAAGGTCGGCCGCAGTGAGTTGTGATCATGCCACTAAATTCCAGCCTGGGTGACGGAGTGAGACCCTGCCTCAGGAAAAAAAAAAAAAAAAGTTTAGGAAGTAGAATTCAGTGAACTGTGAGCAAAGGTAAATAACAAGAAACAGGCTGAGAAGCCTTTGGAAAGAAAGAAAATTGTATTTGGGGCAGCCCTGGATTTTGAAGAACAGTGGTTTAGGTTCACTAATATTGGAAGTTTTTCTTTCTCCGTGTTTTCTTAGGTTCAAAAGCAAAAACTTTTTATCTAAGCTTTAAATCTTGAAACAGAAATGAGTTTCAGGTTAAGTTTGTTAATATTGATCCAGCTACACTTGGGGCTATTCCTAGTAGCCAAGATGTTTCTCCTTTGTAATGAGTCAAATGTACTTATTGCAAAGATATACTGGACCTCAAAGTGCTGAGAAAGTAAATAAAGGTAAACCATGGAAAATTAGGACATCTTCACCGCCAAGCCCCATGGCAAACCTGAGTGTGGCAGACAAGGTTGAGGGGGACTCACCTGAGGATGAAACACTGAGGTCGCTGCTCCTGGAAGAGCTGGTGAAAGGCTCTCTCCACACAGGAGAAGAGGTGAGGAGGCAGTGAGGAACACAGCTTCCCTGAGGAGCTGAAATACAGCTGGGACACCTGGAAAACAGGGCAGCAGCAAGTGGAAAACCTGAGTGAAAAGGCACCAGGATTCCTCATCCCGTAATGAGAGTGACTTATGTCCAAGATACAGAAGTGAATGAATTTCTAATTCTGAATCTCATTGGTATGTAAAAACATTTGTAAAATTACACCCTTCTCTGCACATTTTCAGCATGCATAATGACAAAATGGAGGCTTATACTTTATCCTTCATTACTTGGTCCACAGGCTTTAATTATTCTGCTGTCTTTAAGAAGAGCAACTCACAAAAAAATGTAGTTTAATAGCTGTGCAGTAAGCTGAAACTGTGGTAATTTATACCGAATACAATTTCTCTCAGCAGTATTTAATTTCAATACCATAAGATAGCCAAGGTTTTAAACTTGAATGTGAGAGGCAGTTGCAGCTGAAATGCATGTAAGTTTACAAATTTCTCAGAAAAACAAAAAAATTAATTAATTTTAGAGACACGGTGATTTACAATTATTGCCATAATGATTCATTTCCAGTATTTTTAGTCCTTTTGAATTTCTAGTAAATTCCATTACTTTAGAATAAAAACTCAAGAGTAGGAAGACTTCTTAGCTGTGAAGAAATCAAAGTTATTTTTTATTTTGCAAAATAACTGGCCTATATCTTCAAAGATGTCAAGGTCAGAAAAGTCAAAAGAAGACTGCGGAACTGGTCCAGACTGAAGGAGGGTCAAGGGCATGATGGTTCAAAATGCAACATGCAATGCTGGCCTGAATCTCTGGCTCTATGGGCCTTACTGGGACAATGGGAAATCTTGAACAAGGTCTCTTGATTCAGTGGCAACAGTGCATCAGTAATAATTTTCCCATTTCAATGACTGTATGGAGTTGACATAGGAGAATATCTTTGTTTAAATACCCAGTAAACATATTCAAGGTTGATGAAACTACGTGCCAGCAAAGTATCTTAAAATGGTTGGTGTTAAAAGTTGCTTGTACAATTTATCTACACATTTTAGAGACATTTAAAATTATAGCAAAAATAATTTTTAAAGTAGAATAAATGATTCACGATGAGAGTTAACTGGATGAATCTCACAATGTTGAGTGTGAGTGGTCAGATACATAACAGAACACACTCTATGTCTTCACTTACATCGAGTACAAACACAGGTGACTAATCCTTGCTGTTAGAAGTCAAGTTGGCAGTAGCAGGGAAACTGTTAGCGTTTAAGGGGCTTCTGGAGTGTTTATAACTTTCTGGAGCTGAGTACCACCCACCTGCACACTTAACAACATAAGCACTTTCCTACAAACATTACACCTCAACCAAAACTCCAAAAAACTAAAGTCATCACACAGTGTGGTGCTGGTGCAAAGACTAGATAAATGGATCACAGATCACTTGAAACAGACTAGAGAATTGATGAAGATGAAACGGGAGAGTTCCCTAACTCTGCCCATAGCATGTGACAGCGGTGTGGCTCATCTGTTTGGCCACTGTGTGTTCTCAAACCCCTTATGGGAGGAGGAACATGTAGATGGGCATGTGCAGGAGCTGGGGCCAGCACCTTTGGGCTCTGGCCCCCTAGTAGCATCTAGAGGTGGGTGCCTGCAACTTCTGAAGCCCCAGTGGGCATGTGTTACACTGTGCTCTTTTAGCTTTGCCATGTATGAACAGCTTAAGTGTTAAACAGTTCAGTGGAGCTTCTGCAATTTTTCTAGGGCAGAGGGCCAGTGTGACAGCTTTCTGTATCCTAAGCTCTTGTCTGGCATCCAGGAAAAATCAGATCACACATGGACTTGAAGGATGGTGAATACAGGGTTTAAAACTGAGTGGTGGAGGTGGCTCTCAGTGGGATGGATGGGGAGCTGGACAGGGGATGGAGTGGGAAGATGATCTTCCCTGGAGTTTGGCCATCCAATGGCCAATCTCTTCTCCAATCATCCCCAGCTGAACTCTCGACATTCAGATGCTCCTTCTCTTCTCTCGTTCTCTGGCAGTCTTCTGTTCTTCTGTTCATCTGCTTGTGGAGCCTGGTGTTTGGGGGCACAGGATGGGGGGCATGGTGGGCCAAAGGCAACTTTTGGGCATGAAAACAGGAATACCTGTTCCCATTTAGGGCTGTGGGTTTCCAGGTTTGAGGGTGGAGCCTTTGCTGGGGAACTGCTGTCTTCTACCCAGTATCTCCCTGCCTCCTGTCCATATCAAACATACAGTGTATGACGAACCAGGCTGCACTACCTCTCAGTGGTAAAGGGTGCTGCTGAGATGACTGATCGTCTATTTGTAAAGAAAACAAGTGTTGATCTCCATCCCATAGCATGTGTAAAAATTACTTATAAGTGAATTTAAATCCCAAATATGAGCAGCAAAGTTTAAAGCACTTTTACAAGCATATAGAATGACACTCTTATGATTTGTATGTAAACAAGGAAATAGGATTTTAAAATATAAATTATAAAGAGAATGATGGAGCAATCTCAATACATTAAATTTAACAAGCCCTGGTCAACCATATAATGATAAAAAATAAGCAAAGACAGAGAGGTGTATAAGCTGTGCATATAATCAGTAGATCAGCAGCAATTTATAACATATTCCTACAAATCAATTTAAAAATGGAACTATAATAGAAATTTGGGCAAAAAATATAAACTAAAAAGACGGAAAATAAATGAGAAAGGATAGAAAGCTCTCTGATGCTATTTCAAACTATAAGATGTTATATTACACACAAAAGCCTAGCAGAATTAATCATAGTTTAGTCATAATGATAATAATAGCCTACAGGCACTCTGTGCATGGTGCTGTCCTCAGCATCTCACAGACACTCACTCATGCAGTCCTCTAGAACCTATGTCTGGAGTCAGATAAGTATTTTTATGTTTACAGGCAAGAGAATTGGTGCTAACAGAAGTCAGTGACTGGCCCAAGGGGACAGGGCTAGGTGGTGTTAGAGCTTGATTTCCAAATGAAGTTGTCTCTTGGGCTGGGAAAACATGTCTATACTACTGAATCTTGTAGTTTTAACTAATTGGAAGAATTATCTGGCAATATCTTCTAAACTTGAAGATTCATATTCAACTGGGAATATCTCTGTTGAAACTCTCAAACATGAGCAAAACGAGAAGTTATAAAACAATTCTTATGACTCTTTGTAAGAGCAGAAAATACAGAAATTAGTTAAAAGTCTATAATAAAGATTATAACTTGTTGTGTGTCATTACACATAACTTGTTGTGTGTCATTACAAGAAAATTCTAGAGAGACTTTAGAATTAATTAGGTCTAAAATTTTCAAGATGGAAAATTTTTGAAAGCATGAGGGCTGATCAACAGTTTTTTTGTAAAAGAATACAGTTCATGACTGGGCGCAATAGCTCACGTCTGTAATTCCAGCACTTTGGGAGGCTGAGGTGGGCAGATCATGAGGTCAGGAGATTGAGACCATCCTCGCTAACTCGGTAAAACCCCATCTCTACTAAAACTACAAAAAATTAGTGGGCATGGTGGCACACGCCTGTAGTCCCAGCCACTCAGGAGGCTGAGGCAGGAGAATCACGTGAACTTGGGAGGTGGAGGCTGCAGTGAGCTGAGATCGTACCATTGCACTCCAGCATGGGCAACAGAGTAAGAACCCATCTCAAAAAAAAAAAAAAAAAAAAAAAAAAAAGAATATAGTTACTATGTTATGAGTTAATTAAAATATAGAAAATAGCGGTATACCTACTTTTTGAATGTCTATATGTGTTCATGTATATAGTAAACATATGAAACACTGGATGGAAGGATAATAACTCCAAAATAACCATTATCACCACTTATGAAAATAAGTAGGTTGAAGTAGTATTTACCCTATGTTTATAGAAGAGTATGTCATCTAATTTAAGACATCATACAATTAAAACATACTGTTATTTTTTGTACCACTCAGCAAATAAATGTTACAATTAAATTAGGACACAATGTTTTCTTACCACACGCTTAGGGCTGCATCCCAATCACAAAAGTACATGTGAAAAAAAATACAGCACTTTTAATTTTAAATGTTTTTAAAAGAGATATGAAACCAATATGCATGGTGGGCATACAACTGTCTGTTGCATTCTGCTTGAACTTTTTTCATTTTTAGTTATTCCAGAAGTTGCAATGAATATTAAGAATAATTAAATGATAGTGATATACACATTATAATTCATAAAACTAAGGAGTTTTAGTCCAGCTTCATTTTCCAGCAGATCCAATCTCTATGCTTGTTTGAAAACCTAACTACACTATTTCACTTCTCCCCAAGTTCAGCATAGACTTAAGACTCTAATTTGACAAAATGTTTTTCAACTCTCTATTTTGTAAATGAGAATTTCATTAGATGTTCAACAGACACAAGAGACAGCCTGTATCATGTATCCATCTGTGTGTACATGGAGTTCATTTCTCTTTCTAACTACATATTTTTTCATTTTCATTTTTTTGAGACAGGGTCTCACTCAGCTGCTCAGGCTGGAGTGCAGTGGCCAAAGTATAGATCACTGCAGACTCCATCCCCTGGGGTCAAGCAATCCTCCTGCCTTAACCTCCCAAGTAGCTGGGACCACAGGTGCATACCACCACGGCTGGCTAGAGTTTTAAAATTTTATTTATTGAAATCTGTTTGGGCTTAGATATTGTCTTTATGCCAAGTTTTACTAGAGAGTAGATGTGGGTAATGAGCCTTGAGTGTCTAAAGAAAGTTATTTCCTGATAAACTCATAACCTCTCTCAGCTCCCCTTTCATGTAAATCTCTTTCCCATGCAGTGTTACAGTTCATGTTGTGGAACAGTCCATTGCTACCACCTGGCAGCACATTGCTTGATGCTGATTCTATGCTTTACACATAATATAATTATGGAAATAATAATGACAGTGTAATTCTATAAAACCTTGAGGATTTCTGCTTATGCAGTCCCTTTTTTCTGAGTGACTGACAAGCTATCTAACTTTTTTATTGGTTACCATTCTCATTGTTAATACTGCACATTCTA